GAGAATTCCTCCTGTGGAATTGCAGAGCGCAGTGGGGACCAGGAGCCCTTTCATTTCCGTGCATCCCAGCGAGGAACATTTTTCCTTGGACCTGAACGGGTAGCAGTGCAAATGTTATGATGGGCCACGCATATCTGCCCGTGCCCAGCACCCAGCACGGCCTCCGGTGGCTGCTCTGGAAGGTGCAAAATGCCCACAGTCGACCTGGGTGGTTGTGCAACGCTGCACGGGGAGCAGGATTTCTTCACCCCTGCAGACAATCAGCTTACGCCCTGAATGCTGAGGTTTTGATGGTCCTTATCAAGTTACAAATAGCGTTAGTAGCCATGAGATCAGCCAGCACTGTCACTGCAGAGGGCTTGGTGGTCTCCTGGCATTGTGGGTCTTGCACTTCAATAGGAGCTGACCTGCTTCTGACACCGAGGGCATCTTCCCTGCACCTTTTGCACTTGCTTTATTGACCCAAGCGCCTCCCTCTGCCCCTCCATCCCAACAGTCTTTAGGGACCCAACTGCCTGGACCACTTCTGACTTTAGGGCCACGTCTCATTTGCAATAAAGTCAATGGGGAGCATGTCCCTGATATGCTGCTCTCTGTCCCGGTCCCCCCACGGGCTGCAGAGCTCGCTCCGAGATGACAAGGTGCCTGTTTGCAGGCGCCATATGGTTTTGGTTGTAGGTGTGCATGTCTCTCATCTTCCCCCACGGCTATGTCCTTCTGAGAGCAACGAGGTTGCCAACCAACCTCGAGAGGGAGGCTCATGAGTGGAAGACAGAACGGACTGGAAACTTGAGCAGACTTTGAGCTAGATGAAATCAGGGTGGCCCTTCTCTTTGCTGCATTCGCAGCTACTCCTTAGGGGACTTTGCCCTCATGAGAAGCCCTCCAACATCTCCCCGTTCTTCCAAGTCCGGTGACAGCGAGAGCAAAGGCTAGATCTGTAGGTCTCCGGAGAAGAGGAGACCCCCAGGGCCATCTCTGGACTAAGCCGGACCATGAAAATCCCCTCCGTGATTCCTGCCTGGCTCTGGTTGAGGGAGGAGAGAGCTAGCACTGCTGCGGTGATCTCTGGGAGGATCTGACACCAGCGGTGATGAAATCCAGCGCAACAATGAGGATGAATAGGCCGAGGTAGGTGTGACCCAAAGGACAGCATGGCTGTTTGCATCTTAATTTGCTCGGCTGTGAGATGGGAATAATAGCGCTTGCAACGCCCGCGGTGCTTTGAAGATGGGAAGTGATGAGGGCCATGACTCCATCCTCCCAAGAAAAGCTCAGCCCAGCCTTGGAGATTCACCAGTCCATATTGCTCACTTCCTGATGCTTTTTTTTTCCCCAAGGGAAATCTGTGACGCAGAAAGTCCTGCTCAGAGCACACTCAGCTGCCTGGCATGGAGCCACGGCACCGTGCCTGCCTTTACAAACGTCACAGGTATGAAAATGAGGCTCAAGCACCAGCTCTTGGTCACTGCTAGCATGGTGAGTCCTTGCTGCTGCCCCAGGGATTGCAGCCCCGGGCGACGGAGCGGTCCCTGCTGCGCTGGGCGCTGCACAAACACCCCAGGGACAGCTCCTGCCCTAAAGGCTGCGCGGTCTCGGACCGGAGGCACGGGAACGATGGGACAGCGATGGGTTGGGCAGAGGAGCTGCTGGGTAGGGCTGTGCGAGGCTTTGGACTGTGCTTCGGATCCAGAGAAGCTTTGCATGCTCCGGCGTCTGAAGCAGCACGTCTGGGTCAAAGCGCTGGCCTCGTTCGGCTTTCCGAACCGCTTCGGAGCCGCCTCGGAGATCCGGCCATAGGGTATAATGGGGAATCAATGACATAGCTATAACGTTGCTGTTTTTTGTCTGGTTTGAATGCAACATGCAGGGGTGGTGGCCTCTGCTGCGGTCATGAAGTCTGCCAAGTTTCAAGAAGATCGGTGTAGGGGTTTGGGGGGGACTGCACCCCAAATTCTTGAAAGCACAACTCATGTCACGTGTATGTGTTACACCACGGGGGGTGGGGACGACAGCTGCAGGGACGGTGGCCCCTACTGCGGCCACGATGCGTGCCAGCTGTGGAGGAGATCGGTGCAGGGGGCTCTGGGGCCCGGCACCCCTTGCTGCTGACGGGCAAAACTCATGCCATGGGTGCTTGTGCAGCTGTGCCCGTCTTGGGGCAGTTGGTTGTCTGTACTGAGTCTTTCCTCTCCTTAGTCTGTGGTTTTGTAGGTGTTAGCGAGTCAACGAGCAACGATTAACACCTACAAAACCACAAACTAAGGAGAGGAAAGACTCAATACAGACAACCAACTGCCCCAAGACAGACACACCTTGCGGGCGTGCTTCGAATTCTCACCGCCTTCCTTCTCTTGGCCGCGGTGCCAGATTTGCCCGAGCTGTGGGTTATCCCTGCGGAGACTGTCGCGGACGGCCTGGCCCATCCCCTCTCCCCAGGTCGCAAGGACATCCACGACCTCTTTGCTGGGTCCACGTGGAGGTGTGGCCACTTCCAAGCTGAGTGGGGCAAACACCTCTGGAAGCTCGTCATCACAAATGGGGCTCGCGGGCGGTGACCCAGCCTCTTAAACAGGGAGGTGGCCTCCAGTCAGCATGCCCCATCACACAAGTCAGCACACAAGCCACGTGGGTGTGAAGCAACTGCTGTACGGTACTGTGGGAAGACGACCAATGCAGACATGTTTCAACAGCCCCTTTTCCAGACCAACTCCCCTCGAAAAGACCTTCCTTTGCTTTGAAAGTGGATCGTATGGAGGGAAAGTTGCTCGATTTTTAAAATTTTAAATCTAAATTGCATGGGGAGGGACTCCTTCGGCATCCTTTCATCATCTGTGGGGGATGGTGCATGGGTGGACTTGGGACATTTGAAGCTAGAAAAATGCAAAAATTGCCTGGCGGCGGGGAGGGAGAGGGGAACTCCCCTGTGCAGAAAAATCTCCGAATACGTCCGCACGAGGAGCAGGGAGAAGGTGAGGAGATGGAGAGGTTGAGGGGAGGAAAGGGAGCAATAGAGATCCTGTAGCTTGGCCACGGACCTTTTTGTTCTCTGCACCTGCCCCCAGCGGGATGCCCGGAGGAGAAGACGTGGCCCCCTGGAGAAGAGTCTGACCTTCCTGGTCCGAGACGCGCGCTCCCCCAGGGCGCCTGGCGTGGACGGAGCCCCTCCTGCATCCGTGCACTCGCCGCAGGACCCGCGCTGAGCTCTGTGCAAGCGGGCGGGTGTGCGAGGAGGGGCTGGCAGCCCCTGTTCCCTGTTCCTCGTCCTCCTCCCATCGACTGGAATAGGGTTGGGACTCAGACTATCGTCCCTTATCACATTTCAGGCTTTATTTGTAGGCTGGTTTTTCCCCTCCCCTTTTAACACTTGAGGTTGTTGGGCTGTTAAGTCGAGGGGTGGTGATGCCAGGCCGCACACCTTTCCCGTCAGGAAGGTCGGGATCGTGTTGCATGGGTATTTGTTCGCTGCTCAGGGCTGTGTCATGCTTGTCTGCAGGCCTTCAGAGGCAGGGACGTGGGGGCAGCCAGGACGCTCGGCTGCGTCTCCGGCCCCCGCCGCGTCTGCTCCCTCCTTCTGCGCAGGGACCGTCAAACCCGCACAAACAGCCGTACCCCGTGGTGCGGAGCTGTCCTCCAGGGCTGGGCAACCTCAAACACCTGGTCTTCCGCTTCTCGTGGTACAGGTGACCTCTTTTATTAGAGGATCAAACCTGCTCCCCTTCTTGCTCTCTGTCTCCCAGCCTTTAATCCTGTGATGACTGATTAAGTTCTCTCTGTTTTACCTATTTCTTTTCTAAGCTTGAAAAACATCCTTATGTTACAGCCAATTCTTCCCTTTTACATTTGAGAGCAAGGCCAACACCCCGGTTCTTTCTGCATAGCTCACATTCTTGTGCTTTGGTATCATCTGGTGTTGTCGGCCGCTGCACGCTCGCCAAGACAACCGGCGTCTTTCCTGTGGACAGGCGCCAGCACAGCAGAGAGCTCAGAGTCGTCCGCAGGCGCCTGGAGCAGATCTTACCCCTACAATAAAAACGTTCCCTGTTTCAAGACTGGTTTTCTGTGAGGAGCAGGCCCTGATGGTCTTGTGCACGGAGCATCCTTCTTTTAAAAGGCAGGAAATGGAAACGTGCAGCCAAGGCTGAGGACTGGCTGAAAGGAGACAAGAATTTAGACGTGAACATTTTCAATCTTGCAGAGCGCTAAAGAAGAAGGATGTTTGTACCCAAAAGCTTGCAAAGAAGATTTTTTCCATCTATTTGAGTTGGTTTAATAAAAGATATCAGATTTACCCAAAGAGCCTCATCTGCCTATGTCCTTAGACCAACACGGCTACAACCAACACCCCTGGGAGCTAATGAAACACTCAAATCCATACTTGGGCTCCTGATTTGTGGGATGCTGAGCAACACGTAACTGCCATGGGCTTTACTGGCACCAGTTTGTTAAAACCTAGTCCCTTTTAGCTATCCTGTGCAAGCAGAGAAAGCCAGGAATGACACTCCAGGTTAAGTATCCAGGTAGTAGCCATATGGATCTAGAGGAAAAAGCAATCAGGGCTCATAGTAGAGGTGATATCTTTTGTTAGACCAACTAGATTTTTGCAAAAACAAATTCTTTAATTGCAAGCTTTCGGACACAAACACCCTTCATCAGGCATCGGAGGAAAGACTGTAAAAGTCCTGGCTAGAAATGAAAGTGCAGGTTAGGCAACTTTATTCTGCGCACCATGGGGCAAGCTCCTTCGGCTGCATGGGGGTTGGGGAGGATCTATTTATCAACTTCTTCCACGACAAGACCCGGGGTGTGTCTCAAATGTGTCCCATCCCTGTGGAAAGTAATTACATGGCTGGAATCATTAGAATTGGGAGCCACAGTCAACCGACTGGTTTTCGTGGCTAATGAGGGCTCTGGAGAAGGTTACGTCATCGGGGAGGCGGAGAGCCCGGTCGCCTACATATACCCGACCTGACGGGAGCTGCTCCGTGGGTTTTTCCTGAGCAATGCACTGAGAAGTCAGCCCAGGCTCAGCCGTTGTCCTCGCCATGAAGACAGCAGGTGTCTTTGTGCTCCCAGCTCTGGCCTTTTTCTGCTTCTTCTCAGGTCAGTCACTTTTGCTATACTCTCTAGGGAAGGCTTCGCT